ACTGTCAGTCTTCTCGGTGTTACTAAAAGTATTGTTTATATATACAATATATTTATTTTATATGCACGGACAATAATTAATATGATTGCAATTTTATCATCTTAGACCCTCAAAGGGACAATTACTCTATAGTAATTGAATATTGCAATGGTAAAAATCTTAGAGAACATTTGAAGAATGCAAAAGTTTTGAAAAAAGGCTGGCCCCTTAAGATAAGAATAGCCATGGATATTTCCAGCGGCTTAAAGTACATTCATGATGCGAATATTCTGCATTGTGAACTGGTCAGTATATTGAGTTCAGTATGATAGACCAACCGTTACTAATAGAACTAAATTTATTGATTTATGCTTTTTACTTAAGAACCCAAAGAAAATATTAGAGCACAATAGTAGAATGGTCATCGTAGGTTTTGGTTCATCTGTAACCCTAAAGAACGCGGCACTTAAAATCGTCAATAAAAATCCAGATCAAGAAGATATTGTTTATGTGGATCCGAACCTTTTGGATAATACACTTGATTATAAATATGACAAACCATCGGACATTTACAGTTTAGGGTGGATACTATGGGAAATAACAAGTAACAGAACACCTTTTATAAGTAAGCCCGAATTAAGAGGAGAAAAACTAAAAGAGGCAGTTATTTCAGGGGAGAGAGAAGTCCATGTGAATTTATCTCCAATAGATTACACCGAGCTTTATTATAACGCATGGGACAATAACCCTGAAAAACGTCCATCAATCGAAGAGGTCATTCGTTGTCTCGAAAGTATTGATACTGATCATGTATATCAAGATTGTGATTACATTCCAGAAGTTATTTCTCGGAGGAATAGTAGTTATAAATTAAAAAACGATGCTTGTTTAACAGTTATCGAAGGCTCGCCTCAAAATCAATACTTTTTCCTTCCTCTAGGTGAAACATTTATAGGAAGAAACAATTCAAATGATATTATTATAAGAGATCAAGAGGTTTCTAAGCAGCATGCAAGCATTAAAAATTCACAAGAAAAAGTTGACATTTTTGATTTGGGCTCTCAATCCGGAGTTTTTTTAAATGGCGAAAAACTTACATTTCGCACAAGTCGTACTTTAGAAAAAGGAGACATAATTAAAATGGGACGTTGCATATTTCAATATCTTCCTGCTGGAGAATACGAAAATCGCATTGACAAACTTTTACCAATTTATCACAAGGATTTTTTACTAAAAAGCTTGGAAGATGAATTTAAAAAAGCAAAAGAAAAAAAGCAATATTTGAGTTTAATATTTCTTGATATAGATTATTTCAAAATGATTAATGATGATAATTGCCACGAGGTCGGGGACTATGTTTTAATAGAATTGGCTAAATTTATTCAGACTCTTATTCGTCCTGAGGATGTTTTTGCACGATATGGTGGAGATGAGCTTACTATTCTCCTTAAGGGCACTAGCGTTGATTCGGCATTCAAGCGTGCTGAGAAAATTCGGGCATCTGTTGAATCTCATATCTTTAGTTATGAAGGAAAGAAATTATCGATTACAATTAGTGTTGGCGTCTCTGGAATGAACTCGTTTGTGGAAACTTTTAACGATTTACTTAACCATGCCGATGAAGCTATGTATAAGGCAAAAGGTTATGGTCGTAATCGAGTAATAATGTGGGGGAATGGATTCGATTTAAATGGCAAGTTATACATTTATTATTTAATTATTTTTGTGAAAATTATAATATAGATCTAATAAGTTTTTATTTTATAAGACAAAGTTGAAAAAATGGTAAGCGCACTTTTATACTTCAACATTTAATTTACAGCAATGCATCTCAGCTATTTATTATTTACGATAATTTGCAAAATAAATTTGTTATTTAGGGTTCCTTACAGTTTTTATTGTACGTTGAATCCGCTGAAAGTGGAAATTCTTGGGATCAGAATATCCTTGGATATTGTTACATGAAAGGAATTAGAACCACTCAAAGCCTAGAAAAAGCATTTTATTGGTACCAAAAATCAGCCAAAGGCGAAAGTATCTTTGGTCAAAATAATCTTGGAAAGTGTTATGAACGTGGAATTTGGACTACAAAAGACGAAGAAAAAGCATTTTATTGGTACCAAAGATCGGCTGAAGGTGGAAATACCGCTGGACAGTATAGTCTTGGACGTTGTTATCAATATGAAATTGGGACTACGAAAGACGAAGAAAATGCATTTAGTTGGTACCAGAAATCTGCCGAAGGTGGAAATACCGCTGGACAGAGAAGCCTCGGGTATTGTTATGATTATGGAATTGGAACTACGAAAGATAAAGAGAAAGCATTTCATTGGTACCAAAAATCGGCTGAAGGGGGAGATATCGCTGGACAGTATAATCTTGGACGTTGTTATCAATATGGAATTGGAACTACGAAAGACGAAGAGAAAGCATTTTATTGGTACCAAAAATCTGCCGAAGGTGGAAATACCGCTGGACAATATAATCTTGGCCGTTGTTATAAAAATGGAATTGGGACTATGAAAGACGAAGAATATGCATTTAATTGGTACCAGAAATCGGTCGAAGGTGGAAATACCGCTGGACAGTATAATCTTGGAGATTGTTATCTAAATGGAATTGGAACCATTCGAAACCGTGGAAAAGCATTTTATTGGTATCAAAAATCTGCCGAAAGTGGAAATACCAATGGACAGAATAGCCTTGCACATTGTTATGAAAATGGAATTGGAACTACAAAAGACGAAGAGAAAGCATTTCATTGGTACCAAAAATCGGCTGAAGGTGGAAATACTAGCGGACAGAATAATCTTGGAGATAGTTATGAAAATGGAATTGGGACTACGAAGGACAAATCAAAAGCATTTTATTGGTACCAAAAATCTGCCGAAGGTGGAAATACCGCTGGACAGTATAATCTAGGACGTTGTTATCTAAATGGAATCGGAACCACTCAAAACCGTAAGAGAGCCTCTTATTGGTATCAAAAATCGGCCGATGGTGGAAATATTAATGCACAGCATAGCCTGAAGATGATCTAAATTGCGAGGTGTCTGCAAAACATTTAAAAGATACTACAAGTGACTATTATACTGAGAATTCTGGCATTTATCGTAATTAGAAATTTCCCGGAATAGCGAGAATAGAATAAATCATTTGATAGTTATTATGCAAATAATAGCATTTACAGCATGTATTCAGCAGCTAGCGTTTATCTTGAGAATTTCTTCATCTATTTAATTTATTTTGTGTTTTATTTTTTTCTATAATTACGCTATAATTTTAAAAAATGATTAAATAAATGTAATATTATAGTTTTTTATTAGAGGTGATCTTGGCGGTAAATCAGACATTTTATATAACAGAATGTGGAAGATCTACTCGGAAACAAAAAAGAATGCCTCCCTAAGTAAATCTGATTCTTCTGCCATACAAAACATGCATGAAGCAACATATTATTGCGTTATATATGAGCTGTGTTGCCAGGAATTTATGATTAAGCAAAATGTAATCAAAGACTATAGGATGGTTGCTTTTTTAGCTTACATATACAGTATTTGTCTGTCCTTTTGTTATATAAATTGATATCTATAGAAAATTTTTGTTAGTTCACCATTGAAAAATTTCAAGAAAAGTTGTATTAAGTGAAGGATCTCAATATTTTGATTATTTGCAAAAGTTACTGGTTGCGATATCAACTCATTATTTTATGTTCGTTGGTCTTAATCGTACCTTAATAGTTGGATATGCCAGTAATATGCTTTTTTTTTCAATGAACAACTTATATACACTTTTTAAATGTTTTTATTTGTCCTTTCCAACTCACATTTATATTTGTTCTATTTAGTATTCTTCTAATAATGAAATTAGAAATGTGTATGTAAAGGATAGTAGCTTTTAAAATAGTTTGGCTAGTTGTTTATAATTGGAATCTGTTTATTTACGTGTGTATGCCAATTATATGTCAATTTTGATAGTTTTATACTTTATTTTTGTCGAAATTTGCAATCCTTTAAAACTAGTATATATCCGTGAAACATTGCTAATTCTAGAATTATTCCTGGGCTACTAATTTACCATAACTATTTATTATCTTGTTATTTCAGCTTAATTATCTCTATTAGAGTGTCAATCACTATATTTACCATATATTTGTCTATTCGGATTAAGCCAAGTACTTTTTCATAATTTTAAATAATTCGAATGGCACATTTATTGTATTCAAAAATGATCATTTCATATTTTTCCTGGAGTTGTAAGGTTATACTTTATTGTTATTAATCAATATATCTAGATCTTTACAAATAAATCATCATTCCCTTTTATACTTGACTTCATTAACCTTAGAATTGTACCAATTCTGTATGTATTAGAAACTTTAGTGTATTATATTGACAAATTTAAACTTATTATCTTTCTATTATATTGTAACACGGGAAAAAGTAACGCGCCTCACAAAAACTAGCGTGAGCCTGAAGTAGAATTGCGACACAATCGCAACTATCGCCATGTGACAGGGTCAGTAACGTGAAAATTAAATAACAATTGTTTCTTTATTTGCTTATCATTTTTATTATGTAATAAGTGTGTAAAAATGTATAAAAGAAAGAAGAAATTAAATAAAGGGAGTTAAGTTTTTCGGCCAACATCAAATCCGCCTCACCTCTAATAAAATACCATTCTTACCTAACAAACGTTGCGCGAATCTTGGCGACAGACTCGCCAATCACCGTTACAATATATAAAATATTCATTTTAAAAACCATACCAAATCGTATTCTCACTTCTGTTTTACAAATTGGGTGAAATCGAAAATTCCATTTAACATATTATTACATCAATAACTATTGTTTGTTATTAATCTCACAAGATAGTCAAACACACCCACATCATCTACATATTGCATACAATGTTAAAAGAGAAAGCATTACGTGGACAAACAAATAAATTTCATTTATATTCTTAACATTTCGTATAAAATATAACATTTGTCACAAATTACAGTTGTTCGAATTGAAGAATTACGATCTAGTGTGATATGCATTATGATCTCCTTGTAAGGTTGAATAGCATGATCTGGAGCATCCTCGGGTAACCAATTTTTTCCCTTCATTATCAAGACCAGGCACAAAATTCCAAACTGCTTCAATTTGGTCACCAGGTTTAACAGAATCAGTAAGCGGAACTGTAATATTCTTTCTTCCCTCAGTATTTTCAATGCCAGGAAGTGAATTATCCTTTTCAATAGTGCATATACCAAAAATATCGGTTAAATTAAGTTCATTTAACTTTCTTGAAAATACGTTGAGAAACGACTGGATTTCGGAAGAGGAAAAGTCTACTTTCTTTAGGTATGATACAAATAATTGAGAGTTAGAATGCATAAGTAGGAAATTGAAACAAAAATACGACAAAGGGCAGATATTTACCTTATTTTCATTTTCAAGTCTGAACTCGTAGGGTACATATAAGTTATCCGGAGTAATTCTCCAATTAGATCCTTGAACAGAAGAAACCAAGTCATCAACTTTGACCGGTTGGCTAATGACCTTTTGTTGATTATCAGACAATGAACCGGTTTCAAGTAGAATTTCCCCCTTTTCAAGCAAAAAATGGATATGCAAAAGGGTAAGACCAAAAACGTTTTCAACATGGTAGTTCACAAACAGTTCTCCTAAAGTTTTAAAAGTTTCTTCAGTAACTCGTTTGTTTTTTGCTTCATTAGACTCCCAAAGACCTGGCAATTCATTGAACCTAGCTACAGTGTCAAAGCCTGGTGTGGTAAGAATCATGTTGAATTTTGAGAATTATCTTAAAAATTAAGTTAACCTTGTCGAGCACGTTTATATTATTTATTTACATCAAACTTTAATGATTGTCCAAGGGCATCGATAAAGGGACGAAAAAAGTTTAATTGAAACCTTAAAAAAAAACGACTATGCCGAAACAGTCATTTTATAAAGGTCACAGATCATAGAATATTTTAAGAACGTAAACATTGTGCTTGTAGAAGGAAAATAAAAACCCGATATGGGATATATTTATACGATTATCTGTCGTTATCGTTACATATCGAGAATAAGGCTAATTTCAGTGCTCTTGAGTCTGATTATCTGTATGCATCAATCCTATATTTATACGTTTTGGAGAGCTTTTATATTAACATCAATTGACTGAAACCTGGGTGTAAAGGATTCTAATTCTGTCGAGAATTTTTATGTGCATTTTTCTTTACTTTTGTGGAGTAGCCGCATCAAGTTCCTTAAAGTTGTTGATTTCTGCGGTAAGTTTATTATTAATTTATTCTAAATTTGGGTGATCTCGCATTAACAAACGCCTTAATATCTGTATTACGTGTGAAGTAATTTGTTTGAAATGAATATTGCTGAAATAATAATAATAATAATAATAAATAGCGGATGAGACTAAATATGGCATGCCTTCCGAAGAGTTGATTGGTTTTAAACTGAACATGATATCGACAAAGTGATATGTAGTAACTTTAGCAAGCAAACTTATTGATAGATGAAATCAGAGTTTTTTTTAAGAATACTTGCTTTTTTATCTCAATTATCTTGTATAAATGCGCTGGGCAAGGGTTATTTATACTTTATTACTACTTCGTGTGAAAATAAGCACATAAACCAGATTTTATTAGATGAATAAAAATTACTTTTTTAATGGTTTTCCTAATTACGTTTTTTATTCAAATACTTGTAACGGCCTGGACCCGTCTAACAATAGCAAATATCTATCCCTGAACTTGAAGCGCATTGCTTAAAAGAAAATTCGACGAATTAGTTTTATATGCTGAAATTTAATATTGTTGGAGTAGTAAAGATGAATTTGTAATCGAGAAATACGGTACATACCGAATACCTGTTTGCTTAGCTCAAATTGTTCAAAACATACACTATTTAATTATGGAAAAGTAGTTACGGGAGATTTCGGGACTGCATAAATAAGATAACGAGGCTCAACTCTGAATTATTGTAAACCTGTACATCATAGTTTGCTAGGCGTTAAAGATATGAATCATAAAAATCACATGAACCATTATATAACAGCTTAATAATTGAAAGGTATTCCTGTTTAACGTATTATTTCATTGTGCCTGTCAGGAATTGTATGCAATAAATGATAAAAAATAATGGCAAGAAGTTAATGCGTCAAACTTTGAAAATTGTTCATAGAACAATTATTTTGTCTGCATTAGAAATTTAGACCAAAGTAAATTAATGAATGCTTTTAAAGATTTTAATGAAGCATTTAGATGAGGTTGTAAGTGGCATTCAAAAATTAGTCGAGACAGGTTATGCCTTAAATAAAAAGCAAAAGATATCTGTTGTAACAGATAATCGGCAAGTCTGTTGTTAATAGTAGTGGAGATTCGCGTAACAAGTGTTTTAGTTTAGAGTCATATTTGATTTTAGCCAAATTCTTTCTCCTTTATTAACATTAATCTTTGTTCTCTTTTATACATTATTTTGTTTACATGACTATGTTATTAGAAGAATAAAAGCAAAATAATGTCTGGGCTAATGTAATTCCATAATATTTTTTCATATTTATTCTCTTCCCTTCTATTGTCTAATATTTTCTAATCGTTGCATCGCCATGTGGCGCCGCTTACTGTATCGCTCTCGCGAAAATAGGGCACGTGACCGACATCACATTTCTCCCTTACACTGTCAAGGCGGAGTTTGAACAGATAGGATAAGATATTTAGCTCTACAACTTATAGAAGTCTTAATTAATTGATCAAGTTTTCTTAAAAACCTTTTAAAAACTTTATTAACAAAAAATATATTTGTATAACTTATTTAACAAAATATACATTCTGTTTTTCATGTTTGTAAATTAATATCCTATCATCACATTCTGGAAGGATATGGCATAATACAGTATTGATTGAATTATTATTGAATTTTTAATAAAATAAAAAGGCTTGCATCGGATTATATTATAGTATACGCAAAAGTTTGCAAGAGATAATCAAGACATTATTGAAAGATATCCACCCCTATTTAAATGAAATAGCAGACTGTATATATAATCAAAGATTCCGCATTCAAATGCGACATTATCTAAACACATCAGAGATTAATCCTTTGTACAAGAGCTGATAGAGTATGCATTAACCAAAGGTTCTGCTCCGCCTTCAAAAGACTGAGATCTTGGCAATTTATCTCAGAATTCTTTTAAATTTTTTTTAGTTAGTGCTATAAGCGATTTTCAAGGTTATTCCGTCCTCGTAAAAGGATCTACAATAACACATGACTTTGACATTTATGGGGAACTAGCTTCAGCAGCCGTCAAAAATGATGCAAATTATATGATTAAAGTTGCCAAGACACTCTATCTTTTGAAGCGTGGTTGGCCGAAAATTGGGTACAAATTAGATTTACTTTTGTGTTCAGGATCCACAAAAAGAATGGACACTATTATGCTTTCTAGGACCATATTGACTTATTTACAGCATCGTTTTTAAAAATGCGAGTGAACAACTTGGATACTTAATAGACACTATTTATAAATCTATGAGATTAAATGGAAAGTTAGAAAATGCCAGTCTTAGAAAACAATTATAGAATGATTATACGGTTTTTGCGGATACTGTAATGTGCGGTGAAGTATTAACATAGATATTATAAGGAGTAAAGAATTGGAGTCATACTCGCGTACCTGCATCAGGTATCACGAGTGGCTCGGGTCAATTGGAATGGCGCAATAGAAAGGAATGCAAGTACAAGAGACCTTATGTGCCGAGTATCATGTAACGAACGGCGATATTACCATTTGTCACGTAATTAATCCACGCTGTCGAATTAATGATCGCGAAATGTGACAATGAAAAAAAGTCATTGTAAAAAATAACTATGTAATACTTTTGTAATAGTGATATGTCTTCTATTTATATATTTGTAATTTTTATTTGTTTAATTTACTCTATATAATTTAAGGAATAATTTATAAAGATGGAAGAATTTAAAGTTAATAAAAAAAGACCTCGATCAAATAACAACACATCACCATTTACCTTATATCCTTAACCACCAGTAACGGTTATGTGAACCTCTTTTAGAGTCAGCGACAGACTCGTCGATTGCTCGTTACAATATCGTCACCATTTTAGTAACAAAAAATATCTGTTCGTAATACAGTAGAGATCAGTTAATACAGTGCACTTAAAAGTCTAAAATACAATGTAAAATAAGTGGCGGAATCTATATTATCACCTTAATTTATATTATCCGCCAATAATGCATAGTCATTATTTATATGATCACTAATAACTTTGATTGCTATCTTTCTATTTGCGCACTTAGATTTATAAATAATATTTGTTAAAAACTCAAGCTGATCGCTCGAATTTTTAAACAAAGGAGAAGTATATACGTCAATATAGTCTTGGAAAGCATATTTGTATCCGTTCCGTTTTATGGATTCTTGAGCAACCGAAAATCCATCGTAGACAAATCTAAGCCCGGCCCAATTTACGGCTATCCAAGCTTCAAAAGGGAGCTTCTTGGCAACATTAATCATATAGTCCCCGTCGATCTTGGCAACTGCTGAAATTGGTTCACCGTAAATGTCGAAGTTATGCTTTAATGCCTGGCTTTTTAACATGGCGTTAAAATATTCCAGTTCGTTCACAACGCCGACTAAAACGTCTATAAAGAATTCCTGTGGTACATCTCCAAAGTCCCAATCTTTTGGAGGCTTTGGTTAGCGCATATCCTATAGACCTTGCCCAAAGCAATGTAATTAAACAATGTCGTTTATGAATGCGGAATCTTTAGCAGTACCATTTGCTATTGCATTAAAATATGGATTATGTAGGTAATTTTTTCAACAAGCTCTTTATGAGTTCTCATATACTCCTGGGTAAATGTTTCTTCTTCAGTGCAGTTTGCTTGGATAAAGGACAATAAGAAGAACGCAAGAAATGCCAAGTAAAAATTACAACACTTGAAAGAAGTCATTTTGTAGGCGCTGAATTATCGAAGGAAATGCATGGGTTTTATTCATTATCAAAGTAATGTGAAGACTGCAATGCAATGAGGTTTGTGTTTTTCGCGATTGCTTCTTTCGTTTATTTTTGTGGAAAGTATGGTCTGCGGGAAAGCGTTATTTCAATGGCTACTTTCTGACATAATATAACAAATATCAGATTCTATTACGAAATAAACTATTTATGAACGATCAGTTATTTACTGTAGTTTGATTGATTTAATTGTAATACTGTTACATATTCATTCGAATGTTCGATTTATTATGTTTGATCGTATAATGATCGTATAGATAACATTGAAATATGCTATCATAAAAACTTTAAGTGTGTACTACAGTACTGGAACCGCATAAGAATATGAACGCCGTCCATTCTATTCAATATACGAATTTTAAGAAATACTGTACGTATCCATGTGAAATCTCAGAGGGCTCAATAGTTTTTTGTCTTTTTATAGTAAATTTATAATAATTGAATAATTCGAACGCCGGATTTTCGCACTAATAAGATAGAGCTTTAACTATGAAGCGCATTACTGTATAATTTGATAGACCTTTTCGCACCTACTAATCTCTTCTTGCCCGTCTCTCTATGTGCATCTGAAGATTACAGGAGTCACTTCACGGAGCAAAGTAACGTTATAGCTTCCTCTGTAAAGCATAGTCAAGGTCATATGTACAGTTCGCGCCACAAATATCCGGAATTCAGTTTTAATATATAAAAGTTTTTTAAATTTTATCACATGTAACTCAAATTTAATTTATC